GGGGGGGGGGGGCTTACAGAAAGATTCTCTGGGGGGCAATATGGACAGTATGGTGACACATACAGACGGGTCCACCAGCGTTGCCTCTAAGTTACCCTGTGGTGAAGATGTCCTATTTTTTAACTCCCCATTATAACCAAGAACCTCTCAAGATGGTGTAAGAAGGTGGTACAAAGTGACAGCAATGCATTTTTTCAGATGACATGCAAAGGCAAACAAAAGGTACCGTTTTCAAAGTTGGTCTGAATGAGGTCTGACTTCCTAACCCCGACTTCAAGATTTGGTTTAGATATTCCAGGAAATCACCTTTGGCCCACATCCCCACCCACGGCTGACGATGTGACTCTCCTGTGTGCTCTAGTATCACTGGTGTTTTCCCTTTCATAGCCCATTTCAGGACATAACACGAGACTTCAAACCGTGATCTCCAGGATCATAGGTTGACACTCAACTACTGAGCTACGCCAGCCGGGCGGCTTTGCGTCAATCTGGATGAACAGATTTTGCTGTGGTCACTGTTCCTACTGTTCCAAGCCCAGAACACAAATGAGGAGGAAAGGCTGAGAAAGGAATGCGCTGGCTGGAGTAACTGAAAAATAGGGAAGACCCAGATGACCCAACTTCCTTGCTTTTATGGGAACTGGGAAGGCATTCCCCTGCTCTAACTCCCTACCCCAAAGTCCAACAGTCTGATTCATTCCCCCACAAATTCCCGTGAGGAGTGTGTTACTATGAGTGAGTTGACTCTGATTGCCTTTTGGACATGTGTGAAGTAGGAGTTTGAAGTGTTGTGGGTGAACGAACTCAAGGCACTTAGAGGGCCATAACCGGGCAAGATGTTGGACCCTAGAAGGTGGGGAAGCTGCTAACCCAGGTATGTGGAAGCAGCAGCACAGGAAGAGGAGGGTGCTGCCAATGAGTACTTCCCTGGCTTATAATCCTTCCCAGAGCCTTCCCTTTATCCTAGAGGCTAGCTGCAAAGTCAAGCATACATTTGGAAAATGGAGTCATTATTGATATTATTCTTCTGTATTCTAAGAGATTAAATTTAACATAAATGGCATACCAGCAGGATAAAGAAAATTCCTGGGAGGAGAATTTGCTGCTGCGTGCTGAGCTGGGATGCCCAGGGTAAGTGCAAGGCACAGCTGGATTAACTGGCCTTAGGGTTTTCAGAAATAACAAGCACTGGCGATTCCCATCTGGGCTAATTGTGTCACTGAGATGAACTTTCTAAGGCCAAATCTAGGGGCAGTTATTGAAGAGAGCTGGGGAAGGAGCCAGCCTGGCCCGCCTTGGTTATTCTTTAAAAAAAAGGGATCCACCTGCAGGGGAAGAGGCAAAAGAGGGAATGGTGAGTTCTGGGGACCCTGAGTAACGATAGCAACAGGCCCTGGTAGAGGTGGAGGGACACTTGCCGCTGAGCAAGATCTGGCTCCACTCTGGCTCATCAAAGAGCAGACACCCTGCCCTCGCTGCAGGCACCACACCAACCTGCTGAGCTGCCCTGACTGCGCACAGTCAAAGCGTGAAGTCCCCAGGAGGGCTGTGCCAGCCAACAGGATGACGGCGCAGTCTGGGATGTGGTGGCTGACCCACGACAGTAATCGCTATATCCTTATAAATTTTCCAAGTCAGTTATTCTGGACAATGGCAATGAACTTCTTTTCATTGTTATTACAGGATATCCAAATGCCTCCCAAAAAACTCCACCCATCGTCTCGGGGGTGTATGAACACAGCCTTCTGAGAGCAGCAAGGCAAAGCCCAACACACTTTATGCTGTTGAGTTAAAGAGTGAAAAATAAAAACTGTGCCAAGAAATGTGGATACTATGCTAGCATTTATGTTAAAGTAAAAAAAAGAAAACCCATATTTTCTTATGATACATGATATACTTCTAGATGGCTTCACAAAAAACTGGCAACATTGGTAGCCATTAGGAAAGGGAACTGGGAAGCTGGGGGAGGAGGAAGGTTTTCATAATTAAACCTTAGTACCTTTGAAATTTGGAACACATGCACGTTACTCAGAAATAAAAAATAAATATATTTGAAAATAAATAATGGCTTTTATTATCTTCAGCAATAGAGAAGAGTCCAGCCTGAAGTCCAGGAGTTAGGCAGCCTCACCGTGGAGGTGACAGCGCCTGGAGAAGCGTCCTCGGGCTCCCTTAGGCCGGCGCCCCGACGTTTCTAAGGAACCACAGCCCCAGTGACCCCGGGGGCGGACCCGGGAGGAGCCTTCCAGCTGGAAGCGGCGCTGTCCGGAGCGGGCACCTGGGGGGCCGCGAGCCCCTCTCTGGGGTCGCCCTTCCCGGGAAGGCAGGTGGAGTCCCGCCTGGACGCCAGGCGCCCTCCGGTCCCTCTCCAGGTCCGGCTGCTCAGTCCCGCTCCTGGCCGCAGGGCTGACCTGAGACGCGCCGAGCGGCCGTCAGTCCGAGTCCGAGCCCGCGCCCTCCCGGGACCTGGGGGCCTTGTGCTTCCGCCGCTTCTTCCTCTTCTTCTCCTTCTTCCTCCTCTGCTTTTCCCTCCTCTTCCTCTTCCTGGGCCTGGCCTCGTCCTCTGAGCTGGAGCTGCTGCTGTCGGTCGAGGTGGAGGCCTCCAGGAGCCGCTTCAGCTGCTGGATCCTGTGGGGAGACGGTCGGGGCTCAGCGGGACTGAACTGATTCACTCTTTTAGATGCTCGGTTAGTAGTGAGGGTGGAGTCACGGATGGTCTCCTCTTAAGCACAGCGCTGAGTTATCTTTGCACATTTCCCTTGTCTCGTTCCCCCGGCTCAGGGCTCTAACGGGCAGAGTCCTGCACGCGCACTGTCCTAGGTGTCCCCACGTCTCCACAGTCCTGCTGCTGTAACCCCGGCAGATACGGCTGTCCCGTTCCTCCCCTGCTGCTCAGGCCCACACTAGGTGACCCGCCTCCTGAACAATTGTAACTCAGGGCCATTAACTTGAGAAAATAAAGTCCTCCTGTGTTTTCACTCTATCTTCAGTCACGTCTAAGAATAATTTTTTTTTTTTTAAATATATCTTTATTGATTTCAGAGAGGAAAGGAGAGAGAGATAGAAACATCAATGATGAGTCATTGATCGGCTGCCTCCTGCATGCCCCAGACTGGGGATCGAGCCCACAATTCTGGCATGTGCCCTGACCGGAAATCGAACCCTGATCACCTGGATCCTAGGTTGATGCTCAACCGCTGAGCCAGGCCAGGCCGGGCTAAGAATAATTTTTAACAAAAGCTCAAATCCCTAAAGACACTGGAGGAGACAAACTAAATCATGTGAAAGAGAAGCAGTCATGCAGTGGAGCCTCAAGCCACGCCAGGCATCCCACTGCCCTGGGTTAGCCCGTGGAGCAGGTGACCTGCTGTCAGGGGAACCCTGCTCCTCAGT